GTTATATTGATGTAGCAAGTTTCATGTCCATCCGAAATATATTGAAAAAGTTTATATCAGATGGCCGATTTTTGGGAAGAGCTGACCCGGCGTGTTTTCAAAACAACAACAATGAAAATGGCGGGAAATATTCGAACTTCGTAGTTCGTATGTCACTCGCAAGCGTGAAATACGTAAAATACGCGTATCTGGTCCTGGATGTAGTGGCATATGAGTTCTGTACGAGTGTTTTAGTTCCAATAAAACACGTACCATTGTCCATATAGGCTAATAAAGAATAGCGAGTTTATCGGCGTACAATATCATGCAGTATACCGTCATTTAAAATCCATTCTACGCATCAGTTTTGCTCATAACAAAGGGGGACCCGCAGCTATAAACATTGCCCAAATTTTGCATCTTTCGAACTTTTTTGAATTCAAACATAGAGTTTATATTCATTTACAAGCAAAGCGAACCCAAGAAGTGTTAGATATTCAGTTTATAGTATATCATATTTTACAAATATAGCAGTTCAAAATGTAAACAAAGCGTTTGTTTACATTACGAAGTTTACAGCCTCTTTAAGATTAATTTCACGCAAAATTATCAAGAATCACTACACAATGTTATTGAATATACTAGTTACATCTCAGTTAAAGCAAATAATTTTCACGGGAAGTTGATTAAATATTTTTACTTTCGGTTGTCACAGATTAACTGCACTTAGATAATGTAACTTGAAAAGCTATCTTTAGCTTCAAGGCCACTTGCGTTTGGCGTTCCCAAAAACCGTTGAACAGCCCCAAAAGATTTTTCTATTAAATTGAAGACGAAACGTTGCTCTTTCGCGTGGATATGGCTTTAAACGTCAAAGCGGAGGTCCAATGAACGATTTTCCACTCTAAATTTAGCCATTTTTCGGTCTCGAAAAATTCGGTAAATTAAGTAAAACATCAAAAATCGCTAAAATATTTACTTTAAAGCCAAATTTTATAAACGAACAAGAAAATTGTAAAAAAATACTTCCTCTTTGAAATGGTTAAATAAATGTTTGTGATAAATCTTTGTTTCAATTTTTAAGCGATCTGTAAATGACCTGTCGTATGTGTCCTGTCAAACTAGTCTGGGAGACGTGAAAATTAAAAATAGCCGTTTGCCTAAAATAAAAATCTGATCGAACTTAAGTTATCTCTAGTAATAGTTTACCTAGACCTATATTCTGACAAAGTTGGAAGATTTTGAATTTTTTCATTTTGCATACCTCCAGTCGATATTTACAGACGGCGGCTCTTAAGTCGCCCAAAGTTACTTTGGGTCTTAGAGTTGGCATTCTTCGTAATGATATAACCATATCAAATTAATTGATTGTAAAACTAGTAGATTTCGAAACTCGTTTTTATCTTCAAGTATTTTAGCTTATAGTGACTGACTCATTGTGTTGATAATTTATTTAGACGTTTTAACGATATTTAAAATTTGCATGGTAGTAACATATATGGTATTACGTAGTTTTAAAATATTTCATGTAGTATATGTTATTAAGAGTCCTTTTTACTATGTTCTGAAATATTGCATGTAATTAATTCTGTATATTTCAGCTTTTAGCTGCTACTCATATTAACATTTCATTAAAATTCCAATTCAAATTTCTAATTAAATGTTCCACTTTGTATTTTACCACACGGCTGTGCAGTCGTCAACTTCTTCAGCATTCGCAACATCAATCATTTCACAATATCTAGTAAACCAATTGATGTAACTTTGTGGGCAGTTCTATACCACTACAAATTTTGTACAAATTCATATTTATGTATTTTATCACGACTTTGACTAAATATCTAACGAAATATAGTAATCCGACATTCACGTCACACTATAGATCTATTTCAGCTCCATACCCAACTAATATTTCACAACGGGTAGCAAACGAAATTTTCCACATGTATTTCCGTCACTGTTCCTTCTTGTTTCGGTTCAACTATGTTCACCACCGTGTTTATTTCACCGTGTCTATTTCTCTATAAATATCTCCGCTACATGTTCAACTTAATACTTAAAATAATGTCTTGTTCAGCGAATTTCACAAAGTCGTGAAGATCTAGGTATCTTATTTTTATCAGCACCACAATTTTAAACTAAATACTTCACCATGTCTTGTTCACCACATCCCGAAACAATGGAAAGAGCTGTTTTACCGTTTTTGTCCTCCTTATTTACATCAGCACCACAATTTTCAACTAAGTACTTGAACATGTTTTGATCACCGTATCTCACTGCATTGAAAAGAGCTGTTTCACCATTTTCATTCTCCTTATTTACGTCAGCACCACAATTTTGAAGTAAGTACTTGACCATGTTTTGATCACCATATCTCACTGCATTGGAAAGAGCTGTTTGACCATTTTCATTCTCCTCATTTACATCAACGCCACAATTTTCAACCAAGTACTTGACCATGTCTTGTTTGCCAGATTTCACAGCAGCTAAAAGAGCTGTTTCACCGTCTTTTTTCTCCTTATTTACATCAGCACCACAATTTTCAACTAAGTACTTGACAATGTTTTTTCTGCCGGATCCCGCACCAGTTAAAAGAGCTGTTGCACCGTCATTTTTCTCCTTATTTACATCAGCACCACAATTTTCAACTAAGTACTTGACAATGTTTTTTCTGCCAGATCTCACAGCAACTAAAAGAGCTGTATCACCGTCATTCATCTCCTTATTTACATCAGCACCACAATTTTTTACCAAGCACTTTACCAAGTCTTCGTTACCGATTCTCGCAGCATGGAAAAGGACTGTTTGACCGTTTTTGTCCCCCTTATTTACATCAGCACCACCATTTTCAACTAAGTACTTGACAATGTTTTGGTTACCATATCTCACAGGAATGAAAAGAGCTGTTTCACCATTTTCATTCTCCTTATTTACATCAAGGCCACAATTTTCAACTAAGTACTTGACCGCGTTTAGTTTGCCATGTCTCATAGCATAGTAAAGAGCTTCATTACCAACCTCGTTATTCTCCTTATTTACATCAGCACCACAATTTTCAACTAAGTATTTAACCATTTCTTGTTTACCAGATACCAGAGCATGGAAAAGAGGTAGTACACCGTCTTTATTTTCCTTATTTACATCAGCACCACAATTTTCAACTAAGTACTTGACCATGTCTTGTTTACCATATTTGGCAGCGATGTAAAGAGCTGTTTTACCGTCTTTATTCTCCTTATTTACATCAGCACCACAATTTTCAACTAAGTATTTGACCATGTCTTGATCGCCAGATTCGACAGCATTGAAAAGAGCTTTCTCACCTTCGCTGTTTTCCTCATCTCCAGCAGCACAAAAATGAATCCTCACGTTTTCCTTCGGATCATCTCTCATCTTGACCTTCAATTTCTGCAGCAAGAATAAAAATGAACATAATTTAGATAGAAAAAACAGTCTCGAACTATGGGCGATCCACAAATTGAACAAAATTTCCTTTACATCAAACAACAAAATGTTCCTCGGCAGTTTATTGTGTTTAGAGGAAATGTACATTATGGATATTTAAAACATTTGAACGAAATTTGGCGGACATCGCTAAGCGTGTCAATACTAGGTATTATCACGCTAATTATAATTATTTATGGCTAATATTACCCAATCAATTTAAAGCTTTGAGAGGAGTGTAAGGTGTATTTCATGGTATTATGGTAGTAAGTAATTGAAGCGCGAAATGTATCAGGGCATTAAACACATTTAAAGCTGATTTTCCACAAGCGAATTTTCTCGCACGAAGCGACCAATTTCCTTTGTCGGTATCACTTATTACGTCAGCAAGACGTCGCAAAATGGATGATGCAAAAATGCTGGCCTTGCCTCCACCCCCCTAAAACATGGGACCCACAACGCCCCGTGTGCAACATATATAGTATACCTTTACTGCTTTACACCGAATGATAGTTTTATTTTTTGTTTGCCATACTGTAGATTTTATTTACAACGAAATATAGTTAAATACCGTAAGAAAAGTTATTTCAAAGTATGTCTAATAAAATGCAAGTCGTACATGAATGTATGGATAAAAAATATAAACAATTAAATATGCAGCGTCAGCAGCGATAAAAATAATTATTACCCTTATAGCAGAGATTACATAAAGCAAATATGCTTGTGATTCCGCATAAACATATACAAACGTACAAACTCACAGACAGAACATATAGCCGGTGCCAAACTAGGACGGGCACCGCAATTTAAAGTCTGTGTAACCTTGGGGCTGCGGCTATGCTTTTTACGTTCGTAAAAAGCTAAAATGTGTTAACCTAGGTTAATTTTCCGTCCCGGACGGAATTTTCCTTTAGGGAATTTAAGCTTCACGTTTGCGGCAAACGGCAGAGTCGAATTGGCAGAATTTTCGCCTGATTTCTTCGCTCCATTTTCCCTTTCTTACCTAAATTATACACTATAATCTTATACACTATATTTTAAAATAGAAAGTTCATTTCCACTATATTGCCTTGTAACGTTATTTTTTCTTTCCCTCGCATTTGTCGTTTAACGTTTGAACACGTGCAGTATGCATATACACCTAACTGGATTAATCTGCTGTGTCCTATATAACCCGCCTGATACACCAGTCAATGAGCAAAAGGAATTAACGGCCTATCTTATCGATCAGATTGACCGAGTTAGATGTACCCACCCCGACTGCGGTGTTGTCTTACTCGGTGATTTCAACAATTTAGATATCAGCGATCTCCTGTGCCATCGCAATCTTACGCAAATAGTGGACACCCCAACGCGTCTTGATCTAATTGTTACTAATCTAGAAGCCTTGTATTCTAAGCCTGTTATTATAGCACCGCTCGGCTCATCAGATCACAACATTGTTAAATGGTCCGCGAAAACTAACGTTTTAAGAACAGATAATAAAACAATTAAGAAAAACATACGTTCTTTTCCCATGTCGGCATGTGCAGCTTTTGGAAGATGGTGCTGCTCACGTGAGTGGTTCTCTGATGCCGAAAGCAAAAACTCTGCGACCGCTCTAGCGTCCTCCTTTACCAACGAGTTAAATTCTGCTGTTGATAGGTTATTCCCGTCTAAGGTTATTAGAATTCATAACTCTGACAAACCATGGATGACGCCTGCATTAAAAAAAACTGATTTATCAAAGGCAAAAAGCCTTTCATTCTGGTAACCTTGACCTCTGGCGTCACTACAGACTTAAAGTCCGAAACGACATAGGAGTGAAAAAGCTTGCATATTATACGAACAAGGTACAACACCTAAAATCCAGTGACTCCAGAAAATGGTGGGACTGTGTTAACCAGATGTCCGGGAAAAAAAGATCTGCAACCAATAACATCAAGATCGTTAAGAATGGTACCACTCTATCTGGTAAAGATCTCGCCCAATCACTTAACACCTATTTCTTAAGCGTGAGTAATGACCTATCACCACTGAATCCTCTCCTGCTACCTGCCCATCTCCCTGCACCTAGGCCTGTACCAAAAATTTTCCCCGACGAAGTTTGCACTAAGATGCTCAATACAAAAGTTTTCAAATCCAGCGGTCCTGACAATATTCCTAACCGGATTATTAAGGATTTCGCGTACGAATTGGCCGAACCTGTATGTCACATCTTTAATACATCTCTGTCCACTGGTGAATTCCCTAACATATGGAAACATGCGTTAATTACACCAATTCCTAAAGCGCCATCCGTATCCTGTGAGGAGGAGTTGCGCCCAATCTCCCTTACAGCCTCTTTGTCCAAAATTCTTGAAGACTTTGTGGTCAATTGGATGGTGGATGACGTGAAACATAAAATCAACCCGCAACAATTTGGTTGCCTTAAAGGAACCTCTACAACGTTTTGCTTGATCGATATGATCAACAATTGGCTAAGAACATTGGATGATAAATCGAGCTATCTGCGGATCGTTTTCCTCGATTTTAGTAAAGCCTTCGCCCGCAAGGACCATAATATCCTGGTCCCAAAGTTGCTGGCCCTTGGCGTCAGATTGTCGCTTATTCCTTTGATATGCAGCTTTCTCTCAAATCGCCGTCAATCGGTAAAGATCGACAATTTCCAATCTGATTGGGGCATCAATAACGCAGGTGTCCCTCAAGGAACTAAGTTGGGCCCTATTTTATACATAATTATGATCAATGATCTTGAACTGGCATCCTCTAGCACTGACCATTGGAAATATGTGGATGACGTAACAATATCGGAGTCCTTAAAGAAAAATGAAGTTTCAGTCCTACAGTCTGATCATAACACAATTGAAAGATGGACTGTTAATAACAACATGAAATTGAACGGAAAGAAATGCAAAGAAATGATAGGGAGTTTCGTCTGTAGCGAGATGACATTCCCCGACTTCTCATTGATGGTTTGCCTCTAGACTTAGTTCCTTCATTCAAAATTTTGGGCTTAACCATGAACAATAAATTGAAATGGCAAGATAACACTGAAGCGTTAGTTAAAAAAGGCTCAAAACGCTTATACATTATTCGTGTTCTACAGCGCTGTGGTCTTCCCCCCAATGACCTCTTATTAGTCTACTTTTCTATGGTGCGCTCTATCTTAGAATGTGCCTGTCCTGTCTGGCACACCATGTTACCAAAGTGTTTGGGGGATAAAATTGAAAAAGTTCAAAAAAGAGCTTTCCGTATTATTTATCCGACAACAGATTACGAAGATGCTCTCAACATCGCTCAATGCAAGCGCCTTGACGACAGATGTCAAGAGTTATGTGCTAAATCGTTCAAAAATATCTTAAAACCCGATGCTCACCTCAACCACCTCTTACCCCCACTCCGTGAAGAATCGCATGAACTGGACTTAAGAAACAATTCTAACTTCACGTTAACTAAATGCAGAACTGAACGTTTTAAAACTAGTTTTATACCAGCAATGACTGCTAATTTTAATAGTAAATAATTTGTAGTATTTTAAGAATTGTACATATACGATATATCTATATTTATATTATTTGATATTTATCCTTTATTATGTTTCTGTAAGCATATTGCAATTCAACTTCGGGTGCCAAAATGTGTTTCTTAATAAACCTTTAATAATAATTAATATAAACTCCCTTTTGTATTGTGCTTGGTCATGCGTGCGTGCGTGCGTGCGTGCGTGCGTGCGTGCGTGCGTGCGTGCGTGAGTGCAGTATGCATATACACATATACTATAGACAAAGTGACTTGAATGCAAAGAAAATCATTAAGAAGTAAACTGTGTGTTCTCTGTGTCATTTACAGTGAAGCATAAATTATTAACTTTTTGAATAAAACAAGCGAAATATATTAGAAGTGTAACGCTCCAGTTAATAAAAATCCAAGCACTTAATTACGCCGCCTAAAGTTTGGATCATTAAATACATTATAAACGCATATGATTAATTAATACGAAAATATATCCTGGTGACGCAGTGGCTGGAGCTCTAGTGCTCCACCCGGTCCAGAACCGCTCTTCCCTATAGTACTATTGTTTTCTCAAAAATCATGATTTCCAAGCTTACCGTTTGCGCTAATGGCTAAAATTCAAGTACCCAACATACAGCTATTTCAATTAAGGTTGTCCCCCAAGCAAAGCGGAAAAGTCGAATACGAGCGCGAAAGGCTGCTGGGAATCGCTAATAAATAAATGAATTTTTTAGCGATTCCCAGCAGCCTTTCGCGCTCGTATTCGACTTTTCTGCTTTGCTCGGGGGACAACCTTAATTAAAATAGCTGTATACGTTACATGATATTTTTATGTTGTGCTATGTTCTAAAACGATTGCCATTCGCGCTATGTTATTTTCAGTAGAATCATACCTTTTGCGTCACTATATACAGGGTGTGTAAAAATAACTGATACCTTCGCGGCTAATTTGAATATTTTCCCGTAGAGGGCATTTTTTGAAAAGGGACCTTTCAGTGAGATAATATATTTGGAGGAGGGGGGGGGGGAGATAGACATGTGGCCGATATACCATGCATAAATCCCTAGGGGGTCTGGGGGCATACTTTCCCATAGTCCCCCTGGAAATTTTTGAAATTTGAAGCCCAGGAACAGGGATGCCGGAAGATCGATAATAGCGGGTGCAGATATTCATATATTCGCGTTCTGCCCAATTAATTTCTTTTGAAATCGATTGTTTTTACAGTCTGTGAACACGAATATATGAATATCTGCACCCGCTATTATCGATCTTCCGGCATCCCTGCCCAGGAATGCCATTTCCTGTATTCTGAGCATCCAAATTTGCTCTAAAATTTATGCTAACTATATTTGTATTTGAAATAAAAGAAGGAAAAACGCACAAAAAGTATGTTAAAGGCAATTAATATTGGCGTTATTGTATTTAATTATTCATTGTAGACCGCCATTCTTCTTATCAACTTTGATGAGGGTTATATGTTTTTCCCGAATGACACATGGGTTTCTGCTCAATTGCCCGACCTTAAAAAATGAGGGGGGGGGGGGGCGGCCGACACGCCTATGGATAACGGGTATGCGCGCGGGGCGTAAAAGAATGACAACAACGGATAACCATGGGCGTATAAGAATTGTCGCTGAAAATTGTCCCCTTTCAACATTAGCTTTACACTGGTCGAAGTATAAATGATTACAATGCACATGTGAATTAGGAGTATTTCTAGTTTACCTTTGTATTTTCAACGATATTTTCCATGTCAGCACGTTCAGGTAAGTCCGCTTTGGTACACAATCTGCATAAAAAAAACCCGAAAAAGAAACTTTATGCAACGCGATAGACTGCAATTAGAACCCTACGAAGATATGTTGAGAAAAAACGCTTTTACAGTATTCGTTTCTGTATCTACTAGAAAATACATGCAACTACTACCGATATGATTTTCACCTGTTGTATAAGAAACGAAAATTTTGGGTTACTCGAAATTTACTCAGCAGGATAATCATTATAATCTGTTAATAAAACAAGCCCAGTTGACAGTTAAACCACATGTTTGATAGGTAGAACCGCTGAACACAATAATATTAGTTCCCGGCAAAAACTCAATTATCAAATATGGTGATTTAGAACAGGCTTCATTTAGAGCACAACGGGCGCAATTTCAGCGACCTCAGAGTAGGGTGGGGGCAAAATTTTTCCATACATATGCGATTTTTATAAACTAAGAAATCTTTCAGATCAGTTAACAATATATTTATAACCTACATATAGCCAAGTATTCACTCTATTTTTGGGTAGATTAAACAAATAACCTATATTAGATTAAGACTCGTCTATTAAGAAACTTTTTAACAGCAACTAGTAAATTTGATTCTATCTCCGGGGCTATGGGAGGTCTCAGATTTCAAAATTCCTGGGGAGCAAGCCCACGAACCCCCTAAAAACCCACGCCTTTGGCGTTCGCTATAGTCCCCTTAATCCAAAAATAGCTCCGCGTTCCCTGAATTTAGTCGGCCTCCATTGGAAAATTTACAAGCTTCCATGGCTAGCATGTGGTCGGTACAAGCTCGTTCGTCAGTCGGTTGATATGACCACATCATCATGCTTTTATGAAATTTATTTACAATCCTACATTCCAATATGCATTATTATTATTTCTTATCAATGTAAATAGAATTAGTATAAATATTTTTTTGTAAAATTAGGATTCATTTACAAGGAAAACATTTTAGTTTTAAAACATCAACTTAACTAGGGGTCTTAATCAAAAGCCTGTTCAAGGGTTCTAGTAGAGTCCTAGGCCTATTACTATGTACATACATATTTAGTATTATTTTGTTAATAAATGGGCGAAATTAAATAATTAAATAAAAAAATTAAAAAATACCGGCTTGCATTAAAAATTTAAAGTATTATCGAGTTAAGATCTAGAATGGCTTAAAAATTTCGCGGATATGACTAAAGTCGACAAAACAAAGCAAGTACGGCATGCAATTATACAACTGAAATGTTTGCACTTACCCAAACCGGCACAACAACGATTAAATTAAAAGCACCAACATCAAAACAACGTGCAGAGACTGCTGGGGAAACTGAAAAACTCGTTTTGCCGGCGTAGTTTTCTCGAAAATACGGTAAAATATGTTTGCTTCATAGGAAGAAGCTAGTTTTTGTGTTATATTTTGCTCAAGCCAATTTTTCTGTAGCTAAAAGACTTCCATTATAAACACACATAAAACACGATACGCTGTATTAATGGGCAAACCCCTTCTTTAAGTCATTTTACAAATTTTTTTCAAAATTTTGCTTTAGTGTGTTTTATATATTTTAGATATTGTACTTTCAGTATGTATAGTTACTTTTATGAAAGATTTATTTTTTAAACGCAGAAAACACTTTTAAAGTGGTCATGATCCAAATTTTTCTCCCTAGTAACACCTTGGCAACGCGTTTTCATCCAAAATTGAAATGAATTATTAAAAATCCGAGTCTTTTTTAGTTTCTACTATTGATGTATGTTCTTAAGGTCCTTTTTATTAACTGGAATTTGATTGGTCCATTTTGCATGTACATGGCGACACATATTTCATAGCAACTTCGCGATCATTCGCAAAGCTCTGGCTGTAAACATATCGTCGAAAATTTTTGTTATTTCTGAATATTTAGTCGATGATGTAAGTGTAAATTGTGGCTAGAATCCTGGTCATACTGACTCTGTTAAAGAAGATACTATATTTCTGGACTTGTTTGTTCTGTTTGGCGTTTTTAATCAAGTTTTGAAATGCCTTGAGTGTAGAAACAACATCAGTGACTGATGACTTCCCATGTTGACATGAAAAAGAATAGCTTCTCCTATTACATTGTCCTGCAGTGCGATAGCTTAGAGCGTGAATGGAAATACTGCTTCCATACTTCACAACTAGGGATCCAAGGATAGTGTAAAGTTTCATGATCAAATTGAAAAAGACATGGTAAGAACTGTATAGCGTCGCCGACAACCTGGAACAGTAAGAGCAGGCATAGGCTTTAGAGCAAGCACTTTACTCAAAAATGTGGATTAGAACAACGTTTTTACGCGATAAACAATTCCTTGTCACTCCCTTCGTCGAGCCTTGTGGAACTGATACAATTTATTTATTTATTGTGATGCTACACGCGACAACTCGAAATTTAAATTGTTTCACCAACAACGAAATTTTGTATAATCTAAAACTACATTTGCATTGGGAGCTGTCGCTGAAAGTTTCCCCATGAGGCTACTGATATACTAAACTTATTTAAAACTATCAGCGCCCATATTGTACATTTGACTATTCTCTCAGTGACACTCTTTAATTGAAATAGCTGTATAACTAGTTAATACGACGTTGCATCAATTACAAAAAAAACATAAAATGTAAAAATGAGGCGAAAGAAACTCATAAAGGATAAGATCGAAGCCTTAAAGAATCTCGACGCAACGATCATCGAATTGTTAAGTGACAGTAAAGACGAAGACGCGGAAGAGGAACTGGCTAAAGAAATCGAGGAGTCAGACGGCATTATCGCGGACATGCAAAAGGTTATTCTCGACATATCCGATGTGACAAACGAAGCCATTGTTCAAAGCGCAACAGTGACAGATGATACAATATTGAACAGCAGCTTGTCCAGTGAGACAAAAAAGATTATTCGCGCTAAACTCCCGAAACTGGAAGTAAAAAAATTTGGTGGCAAATTGCAAGAGTGGCAAGAGTTTTGGGACTCGTTTGACAGCGCCGTAAACCAAAACGAAGGCTTAGCGGATGTCGACAAGTTCGCGTACTTGAGAAGCCTATTGATTGAGCAAGCCAGATCAGCTATTTCGGGGTTTGCACTTACATCGGCAAACTATAACGAGGCGATAGATCTACTCAAGAGACGCTACGGGAAGAAAAATGCAATACAAAAGGCGCACATCCAGGAACTGATGAACATGAAACCAGTTTGCAATGACCGAGACACAGAGAAACTACGGAAGTTATATGATACGTGCGAGACAAATTACCGAGGGTTGAAAGCCCTAGGGGAAGACGACACCGCCTATTCAACTATCGTAGTGCCGGAAATCCTGGAGAAGTTGCCCGAGTCCTTTCGATTGACTACAAACTTTTCCGAATGGTCGATGACAGAAGTTATGGATGCTTTTCTAAAAGAAATAGGACTACTCTGGGGCAGTAAATCGCCTTAAATCGCTGCGATTTTGGGCGATTTTAGGCGATTTAAGGGAAAACTTGGACTTTCAAGCACTGCGATTTAATGCGATTTAAGGCGATTTAAGAAAAAAATTAAATTTTAGGGATTGCAATTTAGGTGTTTTCAAAGGAATTGAATTTTATATTTTGCTCCGGTTTCCTCCCACAAGGCAAAATTGGCAGGGGGGGGGGGGTTAGGATATAAACACAGTTAGGAAAGTAATATCATATTCTCATTGTTGTAAAGATAAATAGTCTAGGCTAACATAAGTAATCATAGTACTTGATGTAATCGGTCACTGAAAAGCCCCAATGTGGGGAGTGAGCTAAATAATAATGTAATGTTTCCACACACATATGCATTGTATGAAGCAAAATACAATTATTAGAACATGTATGTACATTTTACATAAAGCTAGGTTAACTAATTATTGTATTTAACCTGATTCACATATAAAGCTCAATATTCATGAACTTTTCATCCATTCTCTATTTAGAAGCCATTGGGGTTCATCTTGTGGGGTCATGTGGTCATTCATGGCTACATTATATACCACAATTAATATTGTAAACAGTTAATATACTCTACTTAAGGGGCATGCACTACACATGTCTTAAACTTTAATATCATTAATTTATGTCGAGTTAAAATTGCAAAATATAATAAATATTTGATTTCCAAAAAACCTACAAGAGAAACACACAATGTATTTATAAGCTATAATCCTATAAATTACCTTGTGACCCTTGTAAGTGAAATTGTCTTGTTTTGTATCATGTCAAAACTTCTTTATTTAGCTTGCATTTTATTTAAACTGTTTCAATATTGTGCTTTCTTCATGCTACAAACATGTTTTATAAAATTTTTGATATCTATATCATATCCCAGTGCCATATCCAGAAACAGTATCGTCACGCATTCGGAAACTGTCGGCGTAATGCCGTAATGCTTAAATTACATGAAGTATATCATATATAAATGGTAGGAATTCTAATTTCTAAATTATTTTAAAATTAAAAACAAAATAATACAGTATTAAACAAATGGCGCACTACGTCGTGGTTTTAGGTTCTGCAAACAAACAACAACAAAAATCTATTGTATGGTATGTACGATGTAATCACTGTTTTACTTTTTATTGTATATACAGGTCTGGAAAATTTAATAAATGAGAGTTGCAAATCGCTCATAACCTCACGTATATTTTTCGTTTGATAGCCACTATAATTATAACTAGGAGCTAGAGTATAACCATGCACATGTCGAAGTACAACCATTGTATACAATGCAGTGCTCGATGTTACATGCAACAGTGCACAAATTACAGGATGACTTTATTATATAAATCAACACTCGTACTAATTGACTTTCCTAGTCTCCTATTGTTGTTCTAATTAACAGCAATTAGGCTTTGAGAAGCCATGTAGATTATAGGTTAATTTGTAGCCCAGCCCCCACAGTTCATATAAATTGTAGCCCAGCCTCCATTTACACCAATAATGAAATTAACTCATTCTGGTAACTAGCTCAATTTTGTTGCTGGTAGTGTATGGGATATATGGGTCTTTCAGATCCGAGAATTACCTAATTATTGTAAAGTCTGCATAAAGCAGAAAAAGGCTCCGTTTTTGTCACTGACCGGTGCGCATTCCTGTTGAGTGACCAAATATTGTCAGCCTAATCCACTTATTTGATTGCTAATTTATGTTGCATTACTTTTGATTGCAAAGCACCTGGATTACATGATTTGCCAGTAAAATAGCAGCAATTGATAAACTTGAGTACATGGACTGAATGTATCAAACAGAATGCATGTTGGCGATTTTAAGCGATTTTAGGCAATTTTAGGCGATCTAAGAGAAATTCGACAATTTTAACCCGCGATTTAATGCGATTTTAGGCGATTTAAGGCGATTTACCACCCCAGAGTAGGCCTAGAAATTGAACTACGGGAAGAACACAAGCCAACGACAGAAAAACCCGAGAACCACGAAAGGCGAAAGAACAATATATATGGACATGCTGGGGGATCTGCTGCCGCTCTGTTTACGAGGCAAGGTCATGGGAATTACGGACGTATAAAGTGTGCATATTGTTTGGGAGAACACTCGCACGAAAATTGCAAGAAGATAACAGATATTAATGAGCGTAAGCAACTTATTCGTAAGTACGGACGATGTTTTATTTGTTTGAAAAAGGAACATATTAGTAAAAATTGTTCTAGTAATGTTAATTGTAATGCATGCGGGAAATGACACCATAGGTCTGTTTGTGAGGGTACTGGGGTTCCTACTGACCATGTTCAATCCAATCATTCCATTCTGGGTTCTCAAAGTAGGGTAGCATTGCAGACAGCACAAGCTTTAGTGAAGAGTTATTAAAGAGAATAGAACAAAGAGTTATTAAAGAGAATAGATATGCTAAGGTATCGATGGGAGTTAACAATAATAGTGACACATTCGAAAAGGTACTTGGTATGCGTTGGGATTGTAATTCAGATAAATTTATATTCTGTTTAGCGAAATTAGCAGAAAAAGCCAAGTCAGTGGTTGCTACTAAGCGAAATATTCTAAGTATATTAGCCGGCTTATTTGATCCCTTAGGTATAATTTCACCAGTAGCAGTGAGTATAAAGATGTTATTTCAGGAGTTGTGCTTAGACAGAGTTGAATGGGATGAAGAATTTGAAGGTGAAAGAAAGAAGCGGTGCATGGTTGAGTTGGGTTGAAGATCTTGAACGAGTTAGTCAAATTGTAGTATCGAGATGTATTTATGGTAGCTTGATAGGTAAAACAACTTGTTCCTTACATGTGTTTGCAGATGCCAATTTAAAAGCATATTGTGCAGTGGTCTAGAGCTTATGTCGACGAGAATCTTAGCGAAGTTGATGAGCACAGCTAAGGATGCCTTAGAACACAGTTCAATTTGCTGGTGTTTACTATTGGTTAGACAGTAAGACAGCCTTGAGCTGGATTAATAATCGAGGATTGTGGAAACAGTTTGTCCGTCATAGCAGAGTGTATTTTGATAAAGGCTGCACAAGCAAGTTTGAAATCACGGAGTGATTATCAACAATTGGTTAGTCAGTTAGGTATAGTGGAAAGAGATGGAGTGCTGAAGTGTAAGGGTAGGTTTAGTAATGCAGAGTTAGAAATAGAAGCCAGGGAGCCGATGATATTACCAAGGGAACATTATCTAACTGAATTAATCATTAGAGACTGTCATAGCAGGGTATATCATTGTGGACGTAGAGCCACACTAGCTGAGTTGCGTAGTAGGTTTTGGGTACCGAGAGGTAGACAGGTAGTTGTGTAGTTTGTAAGAAGCATAGTGGTAAAGCTTATGGAGCACTAGCGCAAGCAGATTTACCAGAGTTTAGAGTTCAGCAGTCACCACCCTTTTCTAAGGTAGGGGTTGATTTTGCCGGGCCATTGTTTGCCAAAGAGGGTAGCGATATGGTAAAAGTTTATATTGCATTGTTCACATGTTGTGTGACAAGGGCTGTTCATCTAGATTTAGTAGGAAAGCTTAGTGTACCTTGCTTTTTAAATTGTTTGAGGAGGTTCACATCTAGGAGAGGTGCGCCCACCCTAATAGTTTCAGACAATGCTAAGACATTCAAGGCGGCACAAAAGGCAGTAAAGGCGTTGTACAATAGTAAAGAAGTGAAGTCGTATTTAGAGAATAGTCTATTAGAATGGCGATTTAATTTGGAGAGGGCCCCATAGTGGGGTGGATTTTTCGAGAGAATGGTGGGTCTGGTGAAAGGTTGTTCGCGAAGGGTGCTTGGGAATGCTAAGCTAAGTTTTGAGGAACTGTTGACGACGTTGGTCGAGGTAGAAGGTACTCTAAATTCTCGACCATTGACATATTTATATGATGAAGTAGAGACAGATATGCTAACACCTTCGCATCTGATATTTGGTCGTAGACTTACTTCAATGCCAGATGAAATTACCAATCAGGTAAGTGATGACGAAATTGGAGAGGTAAATAGAAGATTTAGATATTTGGCAAGAATGAGGAAGTACTTTTGGAGGAGATGGCGAAAGGAATATTTAACGAATTTAAGGGAATTTCATAAAGTTAGGAAAGGAAATGAGAGTTCAGATGCAAAGGTGGGTGATGTTAGGGTAGGGGTAGGAAGAATTGAAAGTTTAGTATTAGGAAGGGACAAGGTAGTGAGAGGAGCGAAGGTGAAGGTGGTAAGTAAAGGACGTACATCGTTTATTAACAGACCTGTACAGAAGTTATATCCTTTGCAAGTGGATACAAGGGTAAGTATACAGAAAGAGATAGTTGAAGAGATCAGTGAGAAGTGTGAGAGTGTAGACAAGGGGAAAGAAGAAATAACTAAGAATGACAAGGTGAGTATTGAAGGCAGTAGTAGGAGACCCAGAAGGGCTGCGGCCCAGGTTGCACGTTGAGGAACGCAGGTTTTGTTTGACCCTAAAGGCTCAAAGGGGGGAGTGTGTCGGATAAATCCTTGTAAATATTAAATACTTTATGTTATGGTTTATATTACTTTTTAAATGGTTGTAAATTGATATCTTAGTTAGACTATAATGCGTTGTCTACGCTCAAACAATAGACAATAAACTTCCGGACAAAGGAAAATATTGACGCTTGAGATTGTAAGAGAGTGGGTTTAGAGTTTTATCAAGAAAGGTTGTGTTTGTAAGATTGTACGATTTTAAGAATTGGAGACGTTATGATTGTTTTATTATAATAAATTTGTAAAAGGAATTGACTGCGCGTATTATTTGGTTATAAGGTGATAGTATACAGTCCCAGAGAAGAGAACCAGCTGAAGCGCAACTGATCGTATTGAGGCGAAGCAGAAAGGTGCAACACATTTATTTGAAGGAGTTTGTTTGGCAGTCGCCGTCCTAAAATCGTAAGTTCTCTAATATTGCATTGAACACGAGTTTGCACCGTTGTGCCAGACATGTGAACAAGGCCCGTGGCTGTACACGTTGGATAGCTCCTTGCCTTTTTCTTCTATTTCATAAAGCTTGCTGGGAAGTCACGCGGTTGGCGATAATACGTTGGCTATGAGTATCTCCTCGTCTTTCTCGTTTGAATAAAGAGCTCTGACGAATCAAGAGATTTTCTTTGTCTCGCAAGTTAATTTGTTGGTTATTTTCTTCGTAAACACCATACAATGAATCAACTAGAAATACATGCATGCAGTAACCCCTCGCCAATATTTTCCAAACGTTAAATTAACATGAAGTATTCAGAAATGGTCAACACTGAACGCAGGCTCGCGCTCAAGTGTTGCCATGCCCACACGATATTCTTAATTTTTTCATATTTTTTGTACAAAACTGCAAAATAGTTGAAAGATTCGTACTTTTAACTATACAACAACAAATTTCCAAAATATATACTGTAGGTATGTTATTTTGCATTTTGTGGGCTTTAATTTAATGTAAAATTTAACTTGAAACGCTTCGTAAAATGTTTTGAAATGTTCATTCAACTAAACTACATTTGCCGACAAATTGTTTTTACTTAATAAAACATAATAAGTTTAATACAAATAAAACAAATTATTAGGTAATTTCAGTTCAGTCTTCAAAATCAATTTGTTCTCTTTTACATTTTAAGATTTTTTCTCAAATTAAACGGTAATTTATGAAACTTAGATCTTCGTTGAAAAGGAAAACAATTCATGTTATTAGGCAAAAATTTAAAGCAACAAAATTCGTAAACATTAAATATTCAAAGCAAACTTGCCGTATATTTCACATTTCCAGTAGTAAATCAATTCTTCTCATTTCTTCAAACAAAATTGCTTCAAGCTTGTTGTGTATGAAACGATTTTCCAAATATATGTCTTTTAAAATTGAAATCTTGCTTATCCCACTCCTACAAGCAATCAGCCATATTTTTGAGATCAGTGACCACACACTCAAGATTGTTGGTCACGCCCGCGATCATTGATGAACTTTAGACTTCGCTAATGCTTTCGTTTCCCGGGTGTAAATAGCCGGGGGGAATTAGTACCCTCGCCCCGGGCTCGGGGATGAAAAAACACCCGCTTCCGTTTAATAGTTGTTTATGCTACTGACTGATGCAATTTTCGCTCTTTGTACCTAGTGTATACGTAGCCATCTACTCTGTGGTGTAGCAGTGTAGATCCTTATGCAGTAGATGTATAATGAATATACGATCTAAACAATATATATCGGAATTTAAAATATTAATTGAATGCCGGTAAGATACAAAACATCAATTTATTATTGCGTAGAATCTCAAAGATTTTCTCAATATTCATATCTGAAATGTTTTATATATATTTGAAAACAATACTGTATCGCTCCCTTCTAGCTCTGTATAATGGATATACCGTCAAAATAATATCGACACTTAATTGAATGCCGAGAATTTCAAAGATTTTCTCAATATTTACGTCTGAAATGTTTATACATTTGAAAGAAAAGCGCTGTCTAGCTCCTTCCCAGCTCTGTATATAATGAACATGGTATGTCTAAATAATATCGGTACTTGATTGAATGCCCATATAATGCATAACATCAATTTATATATTGCGTAGATTCTCAAAGATTTACTTAATATTCACGTCAGAAATATTCATATATTTGAAACAACAACACTGTGTCGCTCCTTCGTAGCATCGTCACGCCATTGTTGATCTACGGCTTGATAGCGCATGCGCATTTGCGCTGCTAAGGAAAAACTCGGGTAATTCGGGGAAAAGATCCTTTACAAAACATGGGAAGCGAATGTTCTAAAATTTACAAAAATTTACAATAACGACAACGATTCCTCGAAATTTTTGAGAACTTGGCAAAAGGACAAAAGAACATTAAAATAAGACAACTGAAATTGCCTAAATAACCTTCAAAACACTGATTAAATACAATAAATCACAACAAACATAAATCGTATACACCAAATTTCAATATTTTTCATCATTGATGAATTATTCACATATTGCATCATAAAGTGCTTGATTAAAAGTCGAAATAATTAAAAAAATTGAAAATGTGGTTCTAAATTAAAAACAAAATTTGAACAAAATTGAAGAATGTCAGGCACTAGTTTAGGCTCTAAGCGTTTTACAAATATATCATTCATTAGATTTAATTTTTGATAATTGGTTCTTGAGTTATGATGTTTACGACGCTAAGCAATTATGAGCTAATTAGCGGCCGCCATATTGGATAATTAGTGCAATATTGGATAATTAGTGCATTTGTGAAGATTTTTTGCATCAGTCATTTTCCTTCACCTCACCTTTTCAAAAAATGATATTTTCTCATTAATATCTTTAAAATTGAAAAAAAAGGTTTTAAAGGGGTATGCACACCTTTTATATGCCCCAAATAATTAACAGTTATTCTACGAACTCGAGTCGAATATGAGCTGATAGCCGATGAGGCGCGTAGTACCGAATCGGCTATCGCTCATACACGACGAGAGTGAGTGGAATAACTTTTTTATTATATACACAAGGTCTGAATTCACAGGCTTTGCTTATGCTTTGCAATATTTTTCTATTTTGTTTATGTTTTTATCTTCGCTCTTTCAGCCGAGTATTTTTTCAAAAATATATATATATATATAGTTTAACCATTTTAAATTTTAAAAATTCATTTCCTAACATGTAAACAATTTGTGGGAGATTTTTCGTTGTGTTTTTAATCCTGAAAAGGCTATAAAGTGCGAACAACTTGCCGTTTTCTCGTTCGCAAAATGTCGGAAATTCAGTTTAAGCCGCCATTTTGTTTTTCTCTACTAACAGGATATGAGCTAATACCCTGCTAGTAGAGAACCAATCGGATTGCAGAGTACCTCATATTCAGATCTTGTGTATATAATAAACAATATTATTAATATCTACATTATAATTTTATGTAAATACCAGCTTGCATATAAAAACATATTATTTACTGAGTTAAGAATGGCGTAAAAATTTCGTAGATATGAATGAAATCGTAAACACAAAGCAAGTACGGCACTTACCAAGTCCCAAACATAGTCAAGAGGCTCAAGCCTTCGACAAAATTCGTGTATATGCATCTCACACTTTAACTTGTTTCACGGTTCACAACCACTAATTCATGAAAGTGCAGGCTTGTTTCCAGTTAAAAGCGAAATACATCGCAAAAATATATTGTAAAACAGCAAAACATATTTGCAAAATGAAAAACAATTTTTTAGCGCGTGCTTGTACTCGCGCATGCGCATAACATCGAAAACCGTCCATCACATAAAGAAGAACAACTTTGCACTTCGCTATGTTTTCAAATACCCGGGTGGCATTAGTACCCACGCCCCGGGCTTACGGCCGGAATGGCGCGGCGCTGGCTCGGGGAATAATATATATAAAATGAAGAATCCCACTTTTTATACACATGTACGGTGATTACTTTCATACCTCTTCTTTATGGTCTCCTTTGTTTCCATTACTTCTTCAATATTTTCAACTTCAACCTTCAATTCTTCTGTTTTAATTCCAATCTGCGAAAATTCCTGCTGCAAACGTTCTTTTATTCCTCCAGATCCATAATCTGCTAAAACTTCCAGAAATCTCTCGTCCGTAAAACAACAAAGTAGAACATGTAAAGATCCTGGTTTGATCTCTCCGATATGTTGGTCATCCCGGTTTTCACCACCGAGAACTTTGGTAACAGCTGCGTCAACTAACGGTTTTAACAAATGATAGCCAGCATAAATAGCACCAAGTGTTACTGCAGTTTGACATACACTGTTAGCCACTTGAACATTGTCAGTGCTAACGATGAATGAAAAGCGACCACCGCCAGCGTGTGATATACTAGCCTGCAGAGCGTGGCATGCCACATCCTGAACTGCTTTTCTAACTTCAGACAATGATTCAGCCATTACAAAACTTACGCTGAAATAAAAAAAATACTTAATTAAAATTAAAATAAATAAAAAATCTCTTGTCTGAACGGGGATTGTACCGAGCGCTTCGCGATAAATTGTCAATTACCAAAACTTAGCCGTAAAGATTAAGCAAATTTTCAGTAGTTTAACCTTGACCTAGCCTGGCCTCAACATCATCGTACCCAGGGTCGTTTTGGAAAAGACCCAGGTATCGGCTGGTCACGCAACTCTACAGAAATTAATTGCCCAAGTGAGAGTGGCAAAGTATCAAATTACATGCTTCCACAGAAAACGTTAAATTTCAAATACCAGGAGTGGGATTTGTTAAAAGTTGGAATCTCATTACGCAATGGACTCACTACGCAATTTAAAAACTCAATTTTGCAATTTCAAAATGAAACTCTTCAAATATTAGCTGATCTTATACTAGAAAGAATTCAGCAGACTGCATCGCTAGTTGGCAATTTGGCGTAATCGTGGACAAGATATCCGAAGTTTTATTGCCGATGGGGTTAACCGAAGTTTTATTGCCGATGGGGTTAAAAAAAGAAGCATTTGTAGGGTTTAACGAAACAAAAACAATCTGATACCCAAGGCGAACACGGATCTTAACCTGGACTTAATCAATATACTAGCGAATGTTTTGACGGTGCAGCTAATATGAGTGGCAAAGAAAAGATAGTATTCGCACGGATGAAGGAGTGTTCTCCAGTTGTTGTATATGTGCAATGCTACGGATATTTACTCAATCTACGGTTGCAAGATACGATGTCAGAAATCGACTGCTGCGAAATGCACTCGGAAATTTTCACGCCGTGTTCGGTGATAATGACGTGGAACGCGTTCATTTGATGTTGACGCAGTGTAACGCGTTGGTCTTGTCGATGGGAAGCGGTCAAGGGTGTCACCGAACAGATCGAACGAATTGTGAAAGCCCTAATTAAACTGTCCAACGACAAAGACCCGAAGACATATTCAGATAGTAGATCCCTTCTAAACTCCATCTGCGATCTCGACTTTCTTTTGCATGGGACTGTGTATACTAAGCAATTATTGGATGAGGCTGAGCATGATATCAAGAATTATTGAGACCGAGGTCAATGTTATCTGCTGAAGCGGAGCTGAGGCGGATAACATAGACCGAGGTCTGAATAATTCTTGATATCATGCGAAAGCCGAATCCAATAATTGTTTTATTATACATTTAAAGACATGAGAAACGTATAAAACGATTCCTGTTCATGAGGTAGGAAAGGTACAATTTGAATATCAAACACCTTGCACAAAGTCAAAGGTCAGCTAAATATTCTATTTCTACTTCTATTTACCCCTTTGTGGCTTTTTTCGTGCTTTCACTATCCTTATCTGCCAATAATTTGGAGAGTTAACTTTCTTTCAGCGAAGCAAATCTGCTGTAGGCCATTGTTTGTTTGTTTTTTTTCGCGCGTTTATAGGTTCAAGCTTTTGGCCGCGCAAGGGTTTGGGCACGAGAGAGTCTAATAATTTTTTTTTGGATGCAAGTTCGATCCAAAAAAAAATTATTGGACGCTGATGACGTCATCGGCGGAAAATACGTAATAAATGCCGAATACTGAAAATTAGCCGATGCTTTCTGACCAATTAGATACGAGAATACATATTAAATGTACAATAATAAAAGATATCTTGTCAACTGCCAGCGTTTTGAGCACTTATTTACAGTGTGTTCATGTTATTAAACGCAAAACGAAACGCAACACTTACTTAGAGAATGCCATACCGAGAAAACTTACGAACTAGTTTGGAAACGAGCCGATCCTGGACCCAGAAGACTGAATTTGACGAGTACCACGGATAAAGCCTTCCCAACGTGTGCAATATCTCGTCGGCGAGACAGCAACGTCAAACGCCGAAGTAATGACACCTATGCAGCACCAGAGAAGCAATACGTACTACCACGCTCTTGACCTCGTTTTGGCAGAGATGGAAACTCGTTTTCAAAGAAACGACCAGGACGTTCTGTGTGCTTAGGCGGCGGTTGTTTTTTGGGTTGTTTTTGGCATAGGCGTACGGGAAGGAAAAAATTAGGGGGGCAGAAAGAAATTTTCCCGACTTTTTCGAATTGTGCCCGACCAGTGCCCGAAACCCCCGTCGCCAAATAAATTTCGGTCAGTGTACCATTTTAGGGGTCCAAAAATATTTCGGACATACCAAAATTTTTCGGAACATCAAACAAATTTTCCCAAACTTCAATGTCAATTAATTCCACCCACTTAATTGTAATTTCCGCCTACATTCCGCGACGAAAATAACCAACCAATCAGATACGAGCCGGAACATATGGCCGGAAGTATGACCCTGATATGTAATGAAAACAAACAGATATACTTCGCGCACGTGTAAAATTGTCAAAGTTTGCAAAATGCAATGGCTGATATAGCCCCGAAAACTCCAACAAAAATTTATTCGCGAAAAGGAAGGAAACCTAAAGCAGCATCTGTTGACGATTATTGCAGAGCGTGTAAGTGCTCTCTTAAAAATAAATACGGTTCTCTGGGGTCGTTTGTCAACGTGTTTAAGCAAACAAATAGAGCGGAATTCAGAGGTATTGTTGTTGCTAGTGTCTGCGAGCAGTCCGGACTACAGCTGAAGGAAATTTCCTCCTTGTCTACGAGAATTTGTCCATCGTGTAGCAGGAAAATAAAAACATTTATAGATTTGCATACCTTTTTCTCATCGGAAATTAATAAGCCTGGGCCAGAAACAGCTATATCTACAGAGATAACGACCGCCAAACGTCTTTTGCAGTTGACTCCGGGAAAAAGTCCGTCAAGAAAAGCAAGGCGAATTTCAGCAGAGGCAGACAGTGTTCATACACCTATTGAGAACAAGCTTCGGACTCCTGCATCAAGGAGACGGATTTTATCTTGTAACGATAAAGAAAATAATGACAATATACTCTCTCATTTGAACATTGAAGACATTATTGAGTGCCAAACGACGAGGGTAAAAGTTCTGATTTTGTCACCCAATGGCGATATCAAGGTAACAACACCACAAGACAAGATAACGATTGGAATTGTTAAAAATCTCGCGCTAAAAAATTGGAAAGCAGCAACAAACGCGTTTATTTCCCACAAGGATGCCCTGCCAGAGCTACTTGAGGCTCTGAACCGGAATGTCAATAGAGAGTTTAAAGAATTCTGCAAATCAAATACTATACTTAAGGGACGAAAACCCGACGAACTCGTCGCATTTTCAAACAAGCTGCTCGCGAAAGAGGTCGAAGTGTACTTGCCATTTTGGAATGCATGCGTTCGTGGATCCTGCGGAGAAAAGATTAATTGTGGCAAGGACGCCGTGAATGCAATTGCTTTAACCACTGCCACAGTAGCACGTCAAAGAATTAAAGATTTATCTGCATTCCACTACCGTGTTTCAACCGTGCTATGTCACAGTGGTGTGTCATTTGACGGAGCAGTCCTGCTCAATAAGTTTGGAATATGCATGTCTCCCCAGCGAATGATCAACCTCCAGAGGGAGATGGGGAAGGAACATGATGCAAAACTGCAGGTGTGGAAGAGAGAGGTGCAGAAAAACGAGTCTGCTTGTATGTTGTTACAGGAAGTTATATCAAAACAACTGCCGCCGTTAGCAGAGGATGACATGGAACTAAATCGTACAGTAGACATGAATGAGGAATCACTGCAACACTACAAGTTTTATAACAAGGACATATTCAATTACTGTTTGTCAGTTATTGTACCTATTAAGGAACAGTTGAATGAATGCCAGACAACTGACGATGTTTTAAAGGCAGCATTGGATGTGCTTAAAGGACAAGAAATCCCCTATTACAAGTGAGTATATTCGCATGTTTGGTTTATATTTAGCAAAAATTCTACAAATTGGCCGAATTATCATTTATAAGTACATGTACGACATTTATTTACATTGCCACACCCATAGGCCCATACCCAAGTATTTACATTGTACCTCCCCCTCCCCCAATAAATACACGCTTCCATAAGTGCTCAGCTTCAAATGGCTATAAAGCCTCATTTTCATGATTTGAGATATTAGGTTTAGAGTCTTTTACCTTTTTGCAGATGGACACATATATACTCGTACAGTTATATTAGATAATATATAGTAAAAGACCTTGATATATTTTGATCATCCGTAACAAGATAAAGGGCTCTGAAGCCAATATCTCAATCCCGAAAACAAGGCCTAATAGCCAAGGCTAAGTACATTTCAGAAGGGTTTATTGTGGCATCCCCCCACCCTCCAAGATATAGTGGTCAAAAATCACCTGTCTTATATGTTAAAATAAATGGGATAACAGGCATTTTGGATTTTGATTTAAAGGATTGTTGGTGACAACCTAGACTTTGAAGTTCATGCTAGAGTACAAAGCAAATCACACAATAACCAATCCATACACTGGACCCACCAATATGGCATCAGAGACAGAGTTGTAGATCGTACATTGGAGACAACCGAAAGGCAGAAACCAGTAAATAAAATCCAACTTTCAAGCTTGCTTGCAGATGAAGCCACTTGCTTACGACTGCAAAAGCGATGGGCTGTACTTGTAAGCCGATTTGTTACCACATACCTCAAAGAATTTCGGTATCTCAATAACCATGCATTATGGCATATTCCACATAAATACTCCACTGAAATGGCACAGAAGTCTGAAATTGTAAGTTAAATGTTGCTTCATACCTTAAAATGGAATACTATAGCACAGGACGTGCAGAATATTGCATTTAATATATAATAACATCACATTCGAATATACTCATATTAGATACTTCTCTGTTGTAGTGTTCCCTGGATTTGGAGTTTGTAAATGCAAACATATCTGGGGAAATGGCACAGCTCATGATTTCCAACCAAGATAGATATGTACCATCATTTATTAACGATACAGGGAATAAAGAAATAATCAGTCCAGTTGCTATGCATGGTGATCAACTTTTTGAAGAACGGGCAAGGAATGTTCAGTGGACTTACAGAGTTGGAGAGAACAAGTTTGATAAGTTGGAGGGTGTTAGTACAGAATTTGCTGATTGGCATGCAAAGGTCACATTGTACAAGGTAATAAATTCATTGGTCTATATATTTATGGGTGAAGATATTAATGTTCTAATTTTAAAAAAGGAGTAAAAGTTTGATAACCACCCTGTGCATTGAAAAATTTACTGTACAGTATTTAAGTGTACAGTATATATAAATGAATTTGGCTACTTTATCTTACACAAAAAAGTACAAGGTCAATTAAGGAAATAAAATTTTTTGAAAAGCATTTTCAAATATTGCAATATCCTCTTTTTGTTGAACAATATAGATTGAATTTGATAGATTTGTGAAAAGTAGCTCTGCAGGTGAATTAGGCACAACACGTTCAAGTCTGAACAGAACTGGGAAGACAACTGCTGCTCAAGGCATCGATAAGAAATACAACGAGTACAAAGAGTTTAATGACAGAGAGGTGGAGGCACATATATGTGCTGCATTCATGGAAATGTCAGATATGGTTACCATGGAATGTGAGTGTACTTATACTTACTGCAAATTCTTGCAGTGTAATAGGATATAAAATAATTATGTCAGGATGTTGGAGAATGAAATGGGGTAAAAACACTCATCAGTGGGTAAAAACCATAAAGGACAAGGAGAGAAGTTCTTCAATTCAAGTCTGTTCAATATGTGCCTGCTTTTGTGAGTAAAAAAAAAATATTGCCAGCATGTTCCTTTCCTGTATGTATTATATTTTCCAGCACTTCCGTCATATGATCTTCCAGATGACACAGTGCCAAGAGATGCCAAATCACAGTGGCTGCTTCACATTTGTGAGCAGTTAGTAAAAACCCACCTCTTCGGCTCAGGGGAAATAACTGATTTTGTTCAAAAAGCTGATGATCTGCAAAGAGCCTTAGGTGGTCCATTTCATTGCAGACAAGATGATTGTCACAAGATCTACAACCAACACTCACGGAGAATAAAGTATGAAATTAAACTATTATATTACTGGGTTTATTTCAAGAACTTTTTATCACTGCACAAATATTTGAAATAATCCATGTTCAGTAGCACAATGAATTTAAACTGCATTGGAGCTATAATCTTATTTGTGCAGTGATAAGCACAACATTGTTTTTACAGTATCGCTGCACCAACATCATTAACCCTTTAAATAGCAATGTGCCCTGATGGGACCGTGCTGTCACTCAATGGGTTGATCACAGCCCAAGTTGATGATCACTGCAAACTAACCCTTTAAGTGGCAATATGCCAGGGGTTTTTTCCGGATTTTCTCTTGGGTCCGTTTGTGCAGAGAAGATTGAGTTTAGCTGAACAACTGGGGTAGCTGCATCGCCCCCCACCGGGGGCTGACACTTGTATTCAATAAATGTAGTTGAGACGGAATGTGTTAAAGTCGGGGCACTGGAGGACACTATAAACTGGTTAAAGATGGCGAATGCATAGTTTTTTTTCTTGTGTTGTGAGATGAATTCCAGCCATTTTTTCTTAATTTTCGGGTTTCCAACTGAACACTAATTTCCACACGTCACAAATTTAACTCAAACAACTTCATTTTTACTGCACTGAAACTTTGGTGAGAAGATTGAGTTTCAAAACTCAATTCAAGATTGAGTTTATGGGTAACGGCCCTAAAAAATCCCTGAAAAAACCCTGCATGCCCAGATGTGCCCTGATTTGTTATTTTACTTTGTCTAATGCCAGAAGATTTTACTCATCAGGGGGAGAGTTCTGCCACTCAATGAGTTAAATAATCACCGAATAATTTGCATTTTCTCTGTGTACAACAAAAAACATTACCATATTTTCAGTTGCTGATGCACAGATGAACCCTCAATGAACTTAAAAATCAAATAAACTACTAACATGTAAACTGTCTTTTAATCAGATAACCTGTGTCTGAAAGCATTCTATCTGTCCTTTTTCCTTTTCAAGACATGAAATAGATGTACATGGAACAAAATTCAATGAGTGCACTGCATCGGATCTGGATGAATTTGGGTACTACAATTGTGCAGCAGGATGTGGATATGTGTTCAGTACAAAAACAGCCCAAAACAGGTACAAAGAAATTGGTCATGATATGGCAACCTAAATGATATGATAAATCTACATTGTTCGTAAACCTTTAATTGACAAAACATAAACAATGAAGGAGATTAAACTTGCAGTACCACTGACTGTACAGTATGTACCTACATGTACCATATACAGTATCATGTAAATTAGTGCAATATGCTGAATGTTGCAATATATTTTATATAATTATATTTTATTCAGTTTTGCACTAATTAACATTTAATCTCCTTCATTGTTATTATTATTGCAACATTTTTATTTTATATATAATATTCATTATGCTTTTGTAATTACAGACACTTGAGAGACAAACATGGAGACTTTGAACTAGATAATGAAGTTCAGGATGACAACTGCACCTTGCCAAAGTCTGACTATAAATTCAACTATCATCAGTCAAAGCTCATGTTTGGCTTGCTGTTAAGAGATTTCAATGACACTATCAGAGAAGGGGATGGTGAACACCTATTTGATTTATATAAGCTTGCTTTGTTGCTCTATCACAGTGAAAAACACACAAAATATGCCTATGTTGTCCTGCTTCACCTTCTAAAGATTGTTGCTATACTCCCAGAATTTGATGCCCATAGATTGAAATGGAACAGGTTTTACAATAAGTATGGTGGTAAAGGTAACAATATTTCATTGGACCTTAAGAAAGAGCAACAAAACAAGGTTCTCAACACCTTCTGGAGAGCCCTTGGTGCAAATATTAATAAAGCAAATGCTGCAAGGGTGGCTCATGCATTAGAGCCTCTTGAAGCTATTATGGAATCTGTGAATGCAGACTGTAGGTATGGTGGACGAATGGGACGACGCTCTGTGTCAAATCAGGAAGAGAGTGTCCGGCAAATAGTTGATGATCTTGTTGCTGAAAAAGTATTTCACTTTACAGAAGGCAGAGAAGGTCATCCTTCATTTCCACACTTTGATGGACGACTTGTCAGAGACATTGATCACCGCGAAGTTCACGGCTGGATAAGTGAGCATATCAAACTATGGGAATCTATATATGAGCCAACTGTATGATTGTTTATTAGCCTCCTCCGCAGGCAACACTGTAGTTCTGCAATGTTAAAATATGTTCTGGACAAAAATTCATATCAACAACTAGAAAAGATTTATTAGGAATGTAGGAAATACAACATACATACATACATACATACTTTATTGTGTTCCCTAAATAGGGATTTTCAACACTGATTTACAAAAAATAAATGTTGTTCTATTTACAAGTTTTAGAATCTAGAATTTAAATTAAGGTAAAAAGGTAAGACATTTGTATAAAGTTTAACAAGGTAAAATTATCTACTTATATATTTGTTCTAGCATGCTTCGCTTCAGTTCGGTTTTGAAAGTTTTTAGGGAGTCTAACTTTTTGTACTTTATGTCCAAATCATTCCAGAGTGTAACGCCTCTATAATGAAAGGACCTTTGACCTGCAGAAGTTTTGTACAATGGTATTTGCAGTGAGTCATGGCTACGTGTATCTCGTTGATGAATGTCAGAACGGTTTGTGAATAAATCGCTCAAATAATGTGGAGCAAGTTCATTGACACATTTGTACATCATAATAGCCTCTCTTAGTAGTAATTGTTCCTTTACTGGGAGCCAGTTAAGTTCGCGTAAGCCCGGCGAAATATGGTCGAACTTTCCAATATTTGTTATTATCCTGCATGCAAAATTTTGCACCAACTGTAGTTTCTTAATGTTGGTAGACGAAGTGTTTGACCAAACCGTTGAACAATAGAACATTTTGTTCATTACAAGTGCCGAGACGATGAGAGTTAAAGCTTCTTTATCGAAACATTTTTTGACTCGGTTTATTTGGCACAGGGAATTCATACATGAGGAAACCAGGTTGGTGATGTGCTGGTCATATGTCAAATAAAAGTCGATTGTCATTCCTAGATCTTTGGCAAAGGAGACGGGGGTAATAGTCTCGTTGAGGAAGTTTATGGTCATATCTACGGGAAGTTGTTGTAGGTTTTGCCGTGTGCCAATCAGCATGTATTTGGTCTTTCCCGGGTTAATAAGCAATTCATTTTTTACAACAAAATATGATGTACAGAACTTCAGAGTTGCCTGTGGAGGAGGCTAATTTTATCACAAACAGGTTGAAATTAATTTGTCACTGTGGCTTTTAAATTTAAATCAAATGGCTGTCAAGATGGACCCCTTTCGTACGAGATAAAAGTTGGCCCAAATCAAATTTGGCGACGTCACATCGACCAGCTTCGAGCCTCGAGTGTGAAAGGAAATGACCAGAGTGATGATACGGCTGAACCTCATCCAGAGCTCGGAGAGACTGGCCAGAATATTGCACCAGCAGAAGAAATTGTCGCAGAGCCGGATATCGAACTAGCCACGAATCCACCAGTAGTGCAACAACAAGAAGCCGGTAGGGCTACAACAGGATCTGAACAACGCTACCCAACTAGATCACACCAACCACCCGAGAGGTGGGGTCTTAACTGTTTGATCCGAAAACTGTTTAAGAAAACTACATAGAGAACTGCTTTATTACTTACTGTTATGGTTAGCATAATTGTTCGAACACGATAGTGAACTCATGAACAATATTTTATGATACATTCCTTAAGAGGAGAGATGGTGTTAGATATATAGATATAGACGGACAGCGGTCATACGCACGGACATGCGCATTAGATATGTAGATCGGCCATGCTTATGTATTATTCATATTTTGTTAAAAGTATAATCTAAATACACGACACCCCCATTCCCCCATTGCCTGTTTCCCCGTTCCCCCATTCCCTGTTCCCTCATTCCCTGTTTCCCCATTCCCCCGATCCCTGTTCCCCTATTCCCTGTTCCCTCCATTCCCTGTTCCCCCATTCCCTGTTCCCCCTTTCCACGTTTCCCCATTCCTTGTTTCCCCATTCCCCCAATCCCCTTTCCCCCAATCCCTGTTCCCCTATTCCCTGTTCCCTCCATTCCCTGTTCCGCCATTCCCTGTTCCCCCATTCCTCGTTCCCCCATTCCCTGTTCCCCTGTTCCCCCATTGCCTTTTTTCCCGTTCCCCCATTCCCTGTCCCCCCATTCCCCGTTTCCCAATTCCACATTCCCCGTTCCCCCATTCCTTGTTCCCCCATTCCCCCATTGCCTGTTCTTCCGTTCCCCCATTCCCCGTTCCCCAATTTCCCATTCCCGTTCC